ATGGGCCTATTCAAACCTGCTGGGACACAAAAATATTAATGACTAAACACAGCCTAATGTGCTACCTCTGAAACCATACTGTGGAATTCTAGGCATCCTCCACCAGCTTGGAAGTGCCAGGTTTTTCCTGGCACCCCTGGAGCCATGTGGGTATTCGTGGTCTCCACTAAGATGTCCATGGTATTGATTTTGTACTTCCTGAATGCACAGGAGGCCTGGATGGAAGCATTCACTCCTCTCCCTCCAGCTTTCAATCCCCAAATATCACCTACTGTTTAAAATGGCTCTTTCCAGCCCTCTTCTGCTCTTCCCTGAGACCCTGGCGCTTGTAAAGGGTCTCCCCCACTTTTCAGATACACTCTACATGTCTGTGACATCTCCAGAGACATGTCCCAGCCTTTTCACTTTTGAGAGCATCCTGATCTACTGATGCGGGTCTTTGACAATGGTCAGAAGTTTCTTCTGCTTCAAGAACTTCAAGAACTACTCCATTCCATGTGACAAGGTTCTGGACAGTGGCTAAATCATTTCTCCCCAAACTTAATATAAAGGCTTGGTTCATGTGTAAGATTTGGTAATTCTCCTGAGACTATGGTCCTTTAAGGCTGTAGTTTATCTTAACTATAGCATAAGTGAATTTTTAGGTCAAAGAACATAGATGTCTGCAAATTAGATCTTTAATCGAAATTAATAAATTAAAAGAACACAAAATTAAAGATTTTTCTCTCTTTTGAGGCACTAATAATCAGCAGTTTAATCCATACATTAATATTTTTGTGCCACAGGTATGTAACCTATGATGAAAATAATTGGAAACTATAAAATATAAATACGTTAACAATATTGACATTAGCAATAATGATACTATAAAGCATAGTACAGACTACTATAAAATGCTTTACGTTATAGGGATATATTACATCTGATATTATTATTACCGCCACTAATAATATTTCCCCAACACTCACAAATCTGAGAACGTTTTCTGAGCCCTGTCTCTAAATGTTTGGCCGTGCCCGACTCTGTAGCTGACTTGAATTCCTTGTTCACTGTCTGATGATTCATTGCACTAAACACCATTTTCCTGATAATTAAAAACTGCTCACTGGCAAGTGGGAGCAGGAACAGGCTGATGTAGGATTTATGCAGAAACACAAAATGAGCCAAAAGACAAATGACCTGTTCTGCCTAGCTAAAGACTTTTTTTTCCCTCATCATCTTCTAAGATTTGGAAAGGCTAACTGTACTGCAGGAGAGAGGTCTAGGAAGATGCGTCATTCTGAGATGAGGTGGATGCAGGGGGAGCCCTTACGTGCTGGGTTGTGAGTGCTCAACTAAGTCACTCTCCCAATTTAGAACACAGACTACTGCCTCCCGCAGAGGAGCAACACCAAAGCCACTTTCTCGGCCCACCCTATCAGACCTTAGGGGAAAGTCATTGAGTTTGAACCATTTGTTAGACCAATGATTCACTTTTTCAGTTTCCCTTCTTCAATGTGACAATACTTTCCTCAATTTCAGCGAAAATGAGTACTGAGTCTAATGGTTCATAAATGCAGCCATTAAGATGTTCTAAATTGACATTGCATCACTACTCCAGGCAGTCTACTTGGCTTCTGGTGAAAGACCTCAGTGACACCAAAGCCCATGGCTCCAGAACAGCAGCTGAGACATCACATATGTGTGTGCACACACACGCACACACATACTTCTTAATTCTACAAGCTAGCAAAGCAGCACACCTCTCTTCATCAGTAAAGTGCACCCATCTTCACAGTGCAGACTTTGTTCCATTTATGTGTACTTATTTGCACCTTCCTGGCCCAAAAGAATCCTGGCATCATTAAGAGATGAGCCCTTTCCCTTCTGGGAATAGCTCCTTCCTTGAACTGATTGGGGCCAATATCTGTAAAACTCATTAACTCAGAATCCTTTCCCATTCATCCTTATGTATGTCTTTACTTGCAAACCATTCATTACCGCATATTCTAGATTGTTTAATTAGTTTCCATGGAAGAGTTCCTGTAGGACAGCTTAGCATACATTGTTCAAAAGCCTTTGATCTAAAATAACAAGGTAGTTATTTTTAAAGTAACTAATATAACCCTAAGCGGCTTACAACCCCCACTGCCCACCCTCCGCTTGCTTCCTCTTCCTACCTCCCCAAACACTTCCTAGAACAATTTACTGATGATATAACAAGTCTATCAGTCAGTGAGTCATCACTGTACATCAGGCACTGTGCTAGGTATGTCATCAGCAATATGTTCTTTAATCTCACAGCCACCTTGGAGGAAACCATGCTAAGAGATGTGTGCCGACTTGTCACATTACACATGGCTAGTAAAAGGTTTGGGGGTCCTGACCTTACCTTTGGGTCCTAGCATCTGGGCTCTTTACCTCCTCTCACCACGGCATACAGTCTGGGAGAAGTCACAGCTTGTTGACACTGACCTGCTGTCCCTTTTGCATTCTGAGTGCATCTGTTGCTGCCAGTTGCACATCAGCTGGCTTCCACCTGCGGCATCAGTGTTGCTTTGCCTGACTGCTTTCCCTGGCCCTGGAGCCTCCCCTGCCCACCCGTACAACAGGCCAAGCAGCCCCTGGCCAATTGTGTGGAAATATCACAGCTCCCTCGACCCCAAGGTGGCCCAACTCTGAAGCATGTGCTAACCTAGACATTGTTTAGATGTGAATCTCAGGGAAATTAGGCCTGCTCAGTGACCCACATGGTCAGTGGCTTGAGAACCCACCTCTTACAGGCTGCCTTCCTTTCTCTATCTTACATCCTTTCTCATCTCAGGTACTTCTTGGGATCACCACCCAGATAAGCCACTTACTTTCAAAAATCTTGCCTCTAGGGCTGCTTCTGGGGGAACCCAAGGTAAGATGGGGTGGCCTGGAGATGCTGACTGGGGTTCTCTATATGCTTCCAATCTGGTTTGTCTGTTCTTACTCTTCACTTGTTCTTTATAACAAATGAAAAAGGCCTGGCACCCCCATCTCTGTTTTACTTTGTCCACTGTTGTTAAAGCAGAAGTCTTCCTACGTACACACATCCCTCATATCCCATCCTAGGGACTAGAATATTCTACATAAAGGTGAGGATCTCTCAATTTGCTTTGTCCACATTTCAGTCTATATATTCCCAAGTCAGTGTCCTCTCAAAGCTTTCGAGGAGCCTTCTGGAATGATGTGAACAACCCTAAAACAAGTGACTGGGAATAACTCATCTTTCAGAAAAAAACTGTTCTTCTGGACAGGACACCCGGCCCTCCTTATCTTAAAAAATAATCCCCTCAGGCCAGGCGCAGTGGCTCACGCCTGTAATCCCAGCACTTTAGGAGGCCAAGGCAGGTGGATCATGAGGTCAGGAGTTCAAGACCAGCCTGGCCAAGATAGTGAAACCCCATCTCTACTAGAAATACAAAAATTAGCCAGGTGTGGTGGTGCACGCCTGTAATCCCAGCTACTCAAGAGGCTGAGGCAGAAGAATCGCTTGAACCCGGGAGGTAGAGGTTGCAGTGAGCCGAGATCACACCACTGCACTCCAGCCTGGGCGACAGAGCAAGACTCCATCTCAAAAAATAAAAAAATAAGATAAAAATAAAAATAAAAATTCCCCTCAATGATTTGCTGTATCTTCCGTCTTCATTTGGATTACACTCTAGTATTTCCATTCCTTGCCTGAATTGGTGACCAAGCAATACCAGTTTAGGGGAGTTATAGAGCCATCAGAAGATTTTTGGATGGAAAATGTCAAAACTAGAGCTGGGGGTCACCAGGGAACAAGCTGCAGTGGTGAGGGGTGGGGGACATGAAGAGGAGGGAGGTGCTAAAATGGAGCTCGTGAAACCTGAGGCCTAACCTCAGCCTTGCGCCCCAGTCCCTGCACCCTGCAGGGTGGCTTTTTTAGGCCTGCTTGCCCCTGCTGACCTGACTGTTTCTTGAATGAGACAGCAGTACCTGGCAGGGAAAGCCCCTACTCTTCCCAAGGCTGTGATACCCGACCATGTCATTTGACCTTCGAAGCCTCAGCCTTTCCACCACCCACCACCATGTAAACAATTCCTGTACTTTGCCTGATGACATATCAAACGTGTTGAAAAATTACATTGTGAATGAATGCATTTGTTTCTTGGGTTCCATTTCCTTTTTTTGTTCCCTCTCCTCTACTTTTTGAATGTATTTTTTCTGCAGTGACAATTCTCTATTTTGTCCCCATGCACACCTATTTATCTTGCCACTGTATATATCAGTGACAAGGTCTATATTCCTTTATGTATTTCTCATTCACCATTTTATTTGTTTTTCATACTTCAGTGTGTCCGAAGGCATGAAGATTCAATCACCATTTTTCTTTCATACCACCTCATTTTTTCTATGTAGACTTTGCTCTTTTCTCTATTAGTATTTTCTAAGTTTTTCTCTTCACATTTTCTCTTCTGGTATACCGTCTTGGCACCTCCATCTCCAGGTTTTTCTAACAGCAATTTCTTTCTTTGTAAAAAAAAAAAAATCCATCCTCATCCCTCTTACAGCCCTGCACCACAGCCGTCAGTTATAACCTTAACAGTGGCCTCCACTCAGGAAAGTTGTCAAGTTGATAAATATTGATATCTACCCTACCATTTTACCACCACTTTTCTGCTAATGCATTTGGTTGGCATCAATCAGCTTCCTTGCTTTCTGTGAGTGCCCGGTGTGGGAACTGGTCCTGATCTGTCACTTATAAGTAATCTGCTCCACATTTCATCAAAAGTTCAGAAAAAAAGAAGAAAATATGGAGGAGAAGTAGAGGACAGAGAATCAGTCTAGAATGACCCAGAAGGAAGGGAAATGGGGAGGCCCAGCAAGAGGAGGAGAGGCAGAGAAAGGTTGCAGCCTGGTGTGTAAGAGAGCTCCTCCCAGGAATGCCCTTAGTGTTGGGGACATCAGCAGTGCTGAATGACAGCTGTGTCCTCTTTGGGATGTTAACCCTGCTTATCTCCTCCAACAAGGCTCCCCAGGGATGAAGATCTACATTGACCCCTTCACTTATGAGGATCCCAACGAAGCTGTCCGGGAGTTCGCCAAGGAGATTGATGTATCTTTTGTGAAAATTGAAGAGGTCATCGGAGCAGGTATGGCTCTTCCCTGTCTTATTTCTGTTCTCCTTGTGTCCAAATATCTTCTTTCCACCACCTAGATGGTCTCTTTCAGTATGAAAGACCCCATTAGGAGGAGAGCTTCTATCTTCTTTCTCCTCAGAAGATGAGTCTGAACTATCTACATGTGTATCTAGGACAGAGAGAAAACATCACTTGGGATCTTTGGGGACCTTGACCATGGTGGCCAGGCTTGTCTGTTGTTGCAGAAAAGTCAGCTGCAGTTTTATAGATTCAGAAATAACTCTGGAAATGGACCACCAAATGCAGATAAGGAGAGAGACAGAAGGTACTTAGTTGAGAAGGCTTTGAAAGAAATCTACATTTTTAGTATTCCACTTACTAACAATGATATCTCAATGCCTTAAAGTCAAGATATCTTGCCATACTGTAAGTTCTCCATTTCCTATGTACATGAATTTGAAGACAGACCATGATGAGTAGAAGAGAGACCACTGTTTCCAGAATAAAGTCAACCTATAGCCTTCTTTTTTTTTTTTCTTACAAAAAGTCTACGGTATAGCTGGTAACAACACAAGACAAATTTCACTCTCAGGAAATGTGTGTGCCGTCATCCACCTTCCTGCACTGGAATAGAAACCCAGCCCAGCGTGAAACTCACTGCCTGAGATGCTCTCAGGAAATCATACCTAAGACTGATCTAGAATTTTCGTCTTCCTTTAATGGGCTAGTAGTTGAGTCAATTTGGTAACGGACCTAGCCTTATTAATGTAAATCAGATAAAACATCTCAAAATATCATTAAAAGAAATCTCATTCCTGTGTCTTATAAACCTTCTTAAAAGATGTGTTAAATTTGTTTATTTTCTTCTATAACATTCTTCTTCTTTTCTTCCTCTTCAGTTCTTGTTAGCCATGGTCCAAGCTCTCTTCACTAATATGCTGTCATCTTTTTTAGGTTCTTGGATCTAGAAGTGCTTTATTCATATCATTATTGGGAAAGCCATGGAATTGCCTCTCTCAGTAATATTTTTAACTCAATAAAATATGTTTAGTCAAAGTCTTACAGCTACTTCATATATTATCTTTAGGGGGAATGTCACCATCCTTCTGTTCACTGCTCTCTTAATGCACTCAGGGGTCAAAAAGCCATCTGTGAAATTGGAAGTCACATTTGAGATTCTGCCCCATTAGGCCGCCATCTTCCTGCTCTGGTTTCCCTCTTGAATAACTTCGTCCTCACACTTCTTTCAGCATATGTGTGGTGGGTGCTGGGAAATGACACACCACCTGCTCCTGCCAACCCTTCAGGAGTTTCAGTTGGGTCACCAGACTCAGATCCACATGAGTTTATACATATCCCATTGACTTTTACATTAAGAATGTTACTGAGCCACGACTTTCACTTCTGTGCAAATAATTTTGTCTTCCTGTTTAGATGCTGACATATTTAAGGATCATGCCTTGGAAGGCTGGGTACCAGATAAATTGGATAACTCTTAAGGGCTCAGATTTCTCCAGTAAACATCAAAGAGTGTTTTTGGGTGGGGGGGCAGGCTTTCAGTCCTGCACTCTGTTTGCTTGCGTTATTAATTGTTGTTATGGCTTGTGGTAATGGTGTTAGTGACTTTAATGTTGTTATTTATGTCATGTGCTTAGAGCGATGTGTTCTGGACTGTATTTCATCCCAGAGAGCACACATCAGCCCCACCCCCGCCTGCCTTTGTCAGAGGAGGAGTAAAGAGCCTTCTCACTTTATGACCCTCCTGGATAGTTACAATTTGGGGTGAGCTCACCAGCTGCTGGATGCCCGTAAAAGGATAATTGATAGTTCTGCCCCATCCTTCACCTCCATTTGTGTGTAGCATTTGCCAGTGCTGCCATGTTTGTGCATTCTGCTCAGAGAAGGTTCAGTCCTCTCCATGACTCACGTGGTATTGGGGAGAAATTATGCATTTAGTAGTTTCTATGATGCCCAGTAGCATGGCATAAAGACCTCTTCCCAGTTACTGCTGACCACTCTCTAGGAGAGACCCATCTCCTTGTAATTCAGAATATCCCAGAGTGAATCCCTGTGGATATTAACTTACTGTGCATAACTTTATGCAATTTTAACAGAATACACTCCTGCAGGGAACCAGTTTTTTCCAGGTCCTTTTCTCCTCTGTCATCATTCTCATTTCCCTCATACCCTGCCCCACTGAGGCTGACTCTTCAGTGCTAAAAGAGCTGGCGTGGAGGTCAAATTGTTTCAAAAGTAAGGAATATGTTAAGGTAAGATTTATGCCATGTAACTGGCAATGTTTCTCTTAGTCACTTGAAATACTTGAAGCAGGGTGAAACTTGGGTTGCAAAATGGCAACAAAACATGAAAAGAAGAACCACAAGTTCTTTATTCTTCCTTTATTTTTTTCTCTCCCTCCCTCCTCTTCTTCCCTCAGGCTTTTACTGAATACTTCTTATTTGCTGGATGTGGAGTTCCAGAGGCGAATAAACAGACTCAGAGGTCTGACAGATTTAGTGGGAAAAAATCAGGCCAGTAACGGTTAATTATTCCACACCATCCACACAGGCATGTATTATGCAAAGTGTGGGGCCAGCACAGAGCAGCATCCAGCTTACTGTTCTAGGAGGGGCTGGGCATGTCAGAAAGGCTCTGCAAAGAATGACCTCTGGCCTGAGTCTTCAAGAATAAACACTAGTAGAAAAAAGTAAGTTTTCATGAGGCATGTGAGAGAATGAGATAGTGACAGAGAGGAAAACTAAATGATTTAAGAAGGATAATGAATATGACCTCCCAGCAGTGGACATGCTGGACAGCCTGCGGTAGCTTGCAAGAGCCAATTATGCACATCTGTTTCTAGCCCCATGTTCAGAGACATCATTTTGGTAGCTTGACATCGCCATAGTAGAAGTATTTACACTGTGGGAATGGGCAAATGCTACAAATCCTGAGCCTGCCCTCTTTTTTTCCCTTCCTTCCTCCCTTCCTCCCTTCCTTCCTTCCTTCCTTCCTTCCTTCCTTCCTTCCTTCCTTCCTTCCTTCTTTCTTCCTTCTTTCTTTCTCTCTTTCTCTCTCTTTCCTTCTTTCTCTTTCTCTCTCTCTCTCCCTTTCTCTCTTTTTTTTTTTTTTTTTTTTTTTGAGACGGCGTCTCACTCTGTCGCCCAGGCTGGAGTGCAGTGGCGCGATCTCTACTCCCTGCAAGCTCCGCTGCCTCCCAGGTTCATGCCATTCTCTTGCCTTAGCCTCCTGAGAAGCTGGGACTACAGGCGCCCGCCACCATGCCCGGCTAATTTTTTTTTTTTGTATTTTTAGTAGAGATGGTATTTCACCATGTTTGCCAGGATGGTCTCGATCTCCTGACCTCGTGATCCACCGGCCTCAGCCTCCCAAAGTGCTGGGATTACAGGCATGAGTCACCACGCCCAGCCCTTTCTTTCTTCTTGACATCAATCATAGTGGGAGTATTTACACTATGGGAATTGGCAAATGCTACAAATCATGAGCCCCTTCCTTCCTTCCTTCCTTCCTTCCTTCCTTCCTTCCTCCCTCCCTCCCTCCCTTCTTTCCTCCCTTCCTTCCTTCTTTTCTTTCTTTCTCTCTCTCTCTGTCTTTCTTTCTTTCTTTCTCTTTCTCTCTTTCTTCCTTTCTTTCTTCTTGACATCAATCATAGTAGGAGTGTTTACACTATGAAATTGTAATGCTACAAATCATGAGCCCCTTCCTTCCCCTTCAGCTGATTTCCTTCCTTCCTTCCTTCCTTCCTTCCTTCCTTCCTCCCTCCTCCCTTCCTTCTTTTCCTTCCTCCCTCCCTCCCCCTCCCTCCCTTCCCTTTCCCTCCCTCCCCTCCTCCCTCCCTTCCTTCTTTCCTCCCTCCCTCCCTCCCTCCCTTCTTCCTTCCTTCCTGGAGAGCTGGTAGTTGAACACTTGTAAGCACACCCCCACCCTCCAGACTGTGTAAAGTTATTTCAAAGAGGTTGCAGAAGAACCACCCTGCACCTGCTAAATATAGAGCCAGAGGAGAAGGCTATGTTTGTTGCAGGAGGGATTATGTTTAGAGTTCAGAAAGAACTTTATTCAATAAACATTGTTTCTGTGTATGTGACTGGAGGGGGCGGGGGATGCTGGAAAAATACACTCAATGCCTAACAAGTCCTGCCATGCAGGGGTTATTGTCTAAAGCGCAGACATTCAATGCCACTCAGTGAGAGGAAGGCAGTGATTGAGAGCTCAGAGGAGGGCCCCGAGAATGTGTAACCCTGGAGATGGGAGAGAAGGCTTGATGGCAGGAGAGGACTCAGGGAAGAGGGAACAAAGTGGCCCCTGAGGTTGTGAAGGCTTTGGATGGACTGACATTGTATGTCACATCCTGAGAACAAGGGGAAAGAAAGTTGCTGGGGAGGGATTTCCTGTGGTTAAGTATTGAACACTAAATCTGGAGAATCAGGCCAAGATCTAGAGATCCAGAGGCTGCTATATGAATTTTATCCCATAGAAAATAGGTTTCATAGCAGGGTGGGTGAAAGGGCCAACGTTCTAGTGAGCCGAATCCTATAAATGCTCTGCTTGGATTGGACTGGAAGAGGGGGATGGGAAATAATGGGTAAAACCTTGGAGGTTGTGGGGTTTTGTTTATATGGTACAGAGAGGCTTTGAGATGGTTGATGCCAGGATCGAGGCTGCATTTAAGTGACTAAACTTATCCAAACTGGGGTATACCCAAATGAATGTGATGAATGGAGTGAACAGTGGGCTTGGTGCCTGGAGTTGATGGGGAGTGGTAGCATGGAGGCTGTGATCAGAAATGAGGGGCCTCAGGTTAAGGGAGAGGAAGGCTGCCTGGCACCCAGGGTGTGGGGAGTGGCAGTTGTGCATGTGAGTGAAGACCCATGGAGGACAATTAAGAAACTGTGAGGCTGAAGAGTTTCATCAACTGCCAAAGTTTCTCCTAAAGTTGTTGCAAATGTTGATCAAAGAAATAAAAATATAATAATTGTGAGCCAGGTGTGATGCCA